GGGGGGGCCGGCGCTCCTGGTGGCGCCCCCTCCCAAGGGGCGCCCTAGGTGGCTGCCTAGTCCGCCTTACAGGTAGCGCCGGCCCTGGCTATATGGTGTCTCTCTGCAGTCTGTATGATGTCTATCTGTAGTCCAGAGTTGTGAGGTTTAGGCATGGTCCAGAGTGATGCGAGGAAGCATGCGGTTGTGCAAGATCTCCCAGACCCACGCACACAATCTATCAAACTCACGGAGATGCACCTCCTCTGGTTCAAGTATATTAGCAGGTCGCAGATGTGTACAACACAGCCTATGCCTGCAGGAAACTGGATACGCTATATCCGATTTTCCAACCATTTCAATCAGCTCTTGACCTATTCCCATGGACAAAGGAACACGTCCCCAGTCAGCTGATGTCAATTAGGACAGTGTAGTATATTTACAAATATATGACTGAAGTGCAGGGCTATTGTGCTATATATATATATATTTCTAAGGTCGGTAGAGACTTGTCTGGATGATATATATATAAAAAAAATATATATATATATATAATCCAGACATGTCTCTACCGACATGTGATTATTAATTAATACTAAATGCATGGTAGCAGGAAACCTAAACAGTCCCATGGCTATTCACCTGGGTGGATTATTTGGCATTCGCAGTAAAATTTTAGATTTTAGGCCATATTAGCCAAATATGAATAATTCAAAAAGTCACCTGTGTTTCAGCTTGCTGACAATTCTCACTTTAGTGAATAACCTTGTTTAAATTCCCATTAATTAATACTTTAGTAAAAATCTCTAACAGAACAATTCAATATACCAAAATAGCAGAAACATAAAAATCCTGAATAATCTGCTAATTTGTTTTAGTTTTAAAATGTGTTAACATTCCCATGCCAATTCTTCAGTATTCCTGGCTTAGATAAAATAATCCAACATGTATCATTATAAAATCAGTCAAAAATTAAAAAAAAATTGGAAGACCCAAGAAATAGAGAAACTAAAAAAATAAAAAATAAACATAGGACAAATAGAGATTTGAACATTAAAGGCAAAAAAAACCAAAAACTACAAATTATCTCTACCGAAAGGCCACAAATATCACCTTCCCTGCAGCCCACATTGCTGTGAGAGTTTAAACTAAAGATCTTTATAGTCACAAGATCGGGAACAAGAGTATAATGAACACACTAGTGGGCTACTTTGTAGCCCTGCACTAAGTGTATGTAATGTTCATGTTCTGTGTTACATAGATAACTGTTGTATACTCACTTACTTTATGTGAGTAGAGAGTATAAGAAAGAAAAGAACATTCCCTTAGAGCAGGCATAGGCAACCTTCGGCACTCCAGATGTTTTTGGACTACACCGCTAGTCCACAACATCTGGAGTGCCAAGGTTGCCTATCCCTGCCTTAGAGGTTAACTGCTTTCAAGAAATGTAATTGCATGTGCAGCCGGTGATATATGTTTTATATGTTCTATCAAAGTAAATGATAAGTATTTTTAAAAAGTATAAGTGCCAAGCAAGGAGCCAGAATTGCTCTGAATTCTGTTAGACAGCTGAAATCTGGAACCAGATTCTTAAAATGCAGACCTGAATTGTTAAAATTGTTCAAAATAATCCTCATAAACACAAGTGGTACAATATTTGGTGGCTTGTCAGATATTGCAATGATAAAAGTATTTAAAAAAATAACAGAAAATAATACAGGTGTCAATATGGCCCAATTCTAATTAATGGTAGTTTAATGTCTTTCTTTTTGAAATAGGGATCAACTGTCTCCTGCCCAAATGGAAATTCTCCAACAGTGCTTGGTGTAGTTACAGTAAATTAACAGTTGTGGGGATCCTGGCACTGGTACCCCATGTGCCTCCACCATAGGACATCAGGACATAAATATTAGCAATATGGGGTTGACATGTCATTGACCACAACCTTAGCTCCTACACAAAGGCAGTGGATGTAGGCTATAAACTAAAAGATTATGGAAACATGTCAGACTCTCCCAGTCTTCACTTCTTGGGGAGACATAACATTGTCCCTCAGCTGGCCCATCCACGATCATTGGATACTGGGTATTTATATGATGTGGTGGTGAAATGCCAATAGTCCACCACCTCTACCCGAGGAGAACAAATGGTATTGGTATTGGTATATTAAGCAGACTTAAACATGGTAAAAAAATGTAGGTCATCTGGATCGAATTGCCTAGAAAAAAAAGGTTATGGGAGATTTGGGTTTCATTCATGTGGTGTATTAGTTCAGATTAATTTGATCCACACAATAATTTTGGCAAAAAATATTCGGATGAACAAAATGGTGCAAAAATTGGCCAATCAGTGTACTATAAAATGTATAAATATTATGTGTATATTTTGCAGTACTTTTTCGGCATCAGCGATGAAACTCTGAATCAGGTAACAAAGAAATGGTTTGTCCACTTTGTCCATGTAGTGTTTCAGAGTTTCTGACAAATCAATAATCGTTCAAAATTCAGACGAATCGCAATTCCTTGAAACCAAATGCACAAGTTTAAAAATAACGGGGTGGGTATGCCAAATAAATCTTTGCTTTGTAAACTAAAAAAAAACTAAAAACAAAAAAAGCAATCAGATCGAAAAAAATTAAAAGTCTTGTCACCAAAATGACTCTATCTTTACCTATCGAGGGTTCTGTGCAGAATGAAATTCTAAGGTATTAAAGAAGTTTAAAAGCCTTCCAAGCTTTGAATTTTAGGTAGAGTGCTCTGACAGTCAAGTTTTGCCTCTCACGAGACCTGCCTGGTAATCCATCTTGAAAGCAAGTGAATTTATTTAGCAGATTTTCCAGTCTCTGGAAAGGATTCACTCGAAATCTGGTGTCTGGCAAATATGGTAATAATACCTTTAGATTTTAAACCGGACACCAAATAAATCTTACAGAATGGTGCTCATTCAGTCGGAAACACTATATTTTGACTGTATTTAACTTTACTATAACTCTACTTTACTTATTTAACTATACAAATGGGAAGTCTAATCCAATAATTTTCACTGAATTTTTGTCACTATGTAGTGTAGATATCCCTCAATGTCTAATAATATGAATTATATAAAAGTTAAATATTATTTCAGCTTACCATAATAAACAACATATTAAAAAAATAGATATGGAGAGAACACTCTTGACATAATTATCAAACTGACCTGCTCCAACATTCAATTTATAATGTCTAATGAAGGTGTTAACTGCTGCTCTGCATATCAGTTCTGGAGGAACTTTAGCTGCAGCAGCCCAAGAGCATGGAGGGACCTGGTAGAATGAGTCTTTAGGCCATCAGGAACAGTAACTCCTAAGGCCTGGAAAGTCTGAAGAATGGCAGAAACAATCCATTTACTGATGGCCTCTTAAGAGGTATGAAGACATTTTCCAGCCCCATTAGGAATAATGGAAATTCTTTGTGACATACTCCAGTTAGAAGATCGATCAAATCAATTTAAATCTTTAAACACCTCACCATGTCAAGTGTTGAACATTCCATTTTCCATCTTGACAAATAGGATTCAAGACTGGAAGTACAATTTCCTTGTCTGGGGAGTAAGTGGAAACGCATAACCCAGGCTGAATTGCTACTGGAATGAAAGGGTCTTCCTTCCTAGAGCCTGAGGATTATTTCTTCTGAAGAAGAAACTGTTGACTTGTTTGATTTTGTGAGTTGCCATTAGATCCATTTGAGTAATTCCCCATTGTTAGATTATTATATGCAAGACTTTGTCTGATAAGCACCACTCCCCTGAATTTTTCCCACTTAGCTGAGATCGTCTGCCAACGGATTCTGCCTACTAGTCCTAGAAGGTGAGATTTACAACCTCATTTAAAAAAAATAATAATAATGACATCAGGGAAGCTGACATATGCAATCAGAGGCGATGCAGAGATATTCAACCAAGATAAATGCATATATGCTTCAGATAGTAGGTAAAGGTAATATTCGCTTAACTCAGAGACGTATTAGCTGCGAGGCAAACAAGGCATTTGCCTTGGGTGGCATTTTCCAGGGGGCGGCAAAAAAGCCGCCCCCAAATGCCCAGGGCAAATGTCTTGTTAGCTTTGTGGCTAATAGTCCCTGGCGGCTAACTCAAAATCCGGGCGGGCAGGCGGCGCTGGCGAGGGAGCACTATCCCCTGAGCTCTCTGCTCAGCTCCCTCGCATGCCACAGAGTGATGCTGGGAGCCGGAATATAACGTCATATTCTGGCTCCCAGCATCACTCTGCGGCGCTCGAGGGAGCTGAGCAGAGAGCTCACTAATCAGTGCTCCCTTGCCAGCGCCGCCCACCCAGCAGTCCAGCAGCCACTGGACCCCCAGGAAAAGAGGTTGAATTTAAAAAAAAAGTGAGTGAGTGTGTCTGTTCGTGTGTGTCTGTTAGTGTGTGTGTTAGTGTGTGTCTGTTAGTGTGTGTGTGTGTGTGTGTGTCTGTTAGTGTGTGTGTGTGTGAGTGTGTGTGAGTGTGTGTCTGTTAGTGAGTGTGTCTGTTAGGGAGTGTGTTACTTTGTGTGTGTCTGTTAGTGAGAGTGTATGCGTGTCTGTTAGTGAATGTGTGTGTCTGCTAGTGACTGTATGTGTCTGTTAGTGAGTGTGTATGTCTGTTAGCTAGTGTATGCGTGTCTGTCAGTGAATGTGTGTGTATTTAGAAGGCGGGGCAGGGGGGAAGGGTGGGGTGGCACGGTGGGAGTGGGGGCCTGAGTTTTGCCATGCCTAGGGCAGCACAAAACCAGGATACACCACTGGCTTAACTGTAAGCTAAACAGCAAAATCAGGCTAGGCATGTTTGTCAGAACTTGAGAGACTTGGATTAGCCAGACAAAAGGATATCAACTATAGAGTATTGCTGTATAGCAGGCTAGCAAATAGGCATAATACTACTGGAAAGAGAACAAATGTAAGAGACAGAAGCCATTTAACAAAAGGAGAAATCAGCTAAGATAACCAAGATAGTGCTATCATAAATGAGAAATGCATAGTGATAGCGTTCAGCCAACCCACAGGCTGGCCATGATAGAGAGTTTATCTCCATGCCAGTGTTGCTTTCCCTGGAGGCAGACAAGGTAGGCTTTGCTGTGGATGATGCTGTTGGTTATCACCAAAACAGTACCCAGCGCCTTGTGTCCATAGATCCCCTTATCTTGAGTGGTAGGATCTTGGGCACGTGGGGTTTCTGCCAATTGTACTTCTCTCCGAGTAGATGGAGGTACCTCCATATGGGCCCCCAACCAAAGAAAGTAGCGCCTAGCAGAGGCATCTTCTAGAGTCTGCAGGAGGAATGGTTTATGGGGTTTGCAGGCAACACGATACCAGAACTCCTCACAGAAGGCATTGAACAGGTTCCGACAGCTCATGTATTTAAGTTCTGTTGGTTCAGCTGAGTGTTTTGCACAGTGGCCATCTTGGTCGCGCCATGCAGCTTTCAAGATGCTGGATTATAGGCTTCTATTGTAAGCTGACCCAGTGGGGACCAGTATATCCCCCGCCGGTCCAAAGGGGGGGGGGGTAACTAGGCAGCAATATGTGGTCTCGAGGTGTGTGTGCAGTGTCGGGAGATATGCCACTTCTCCACTCCGCCTGTATGGCAATCTCGGTAGGCCTCAGAGTTAGACAGAATTACTGCTTGGTAGGATGCCCTGGACCAGACTCAGTAGGTTTCACTAAGTGTTAGCATCAGTCCACACACAACTTAATACCATGAGTAGCTGATGGAATTGCTTTAAAAGTTTACTTTTTGCTTGATTTAACAGGAGCTACAGAAGAACCCTTCCAGCCATCTTGGATGTCAGCCCCCTCTCCCGTTTCCTACAAGTCCAACAATACAACCCCTATAATGTTTTCCTGAAGGAAAAAGATTAATTAGTGCATGATTAGGATGAAATGTGTCCTTAATTATTCTTTTACTCTCCAGGCACAGCGTTTGTTGTGAATTTCTTGAATTGATGAGAGCTTAACAGCAAAAATGTATTAAGCAGGCTTTACTAGTCGTTAAACAACCTTCCTATCAACTGCTAAACAGTTACCATACCATGTTAAATACAATTTGTCAGAATACTTTCATTTATACAGCTCTAAAAGTTAGTCATTATATGTAATTTAATTTAAAAGCGACACTATAGTCACCAGAACAACTACAGCCTAATGTAATTGTTCTGGTGAGAATAATAGCTCCCTTCAGGCATTTTCATGTAAACACTGCTTTTTCAAAGAAAAGGCAGTGTTTACATTGCCCCTAGGGACAATTCCAAGATGGCCACTGGAGGGGCTTCCTGGTTCAGGGCTGCACAGTAAGAAGCACTACCTTTCAACGTCCCCACGCTCTGCATGGGGATGCTGAATTTTCCTCATAGAAATGCATTGATTCAATGCATCTCTGAGGATGTCCTGATTGGCCAAAATGGCATTTGGCCTTGCCCCCATGCTGATTTTATCCAATCCAAAGCATTGGATTGGCTAAAAATCCGCTATTTTTTTAACATTTATTTTTTATATTTAAAATTTTAATTTATGGACAATAACATTGACAGACAGCCACAAGTTGCCTTGCAAAAATCGGTCATTTTGATGATGTCACAAAGGGGGCAGAGCCAGCACCGGCAGACCCGCGTGACGCTGGCTATAAGGTGAGTTTTAAACTTTTATATGGGGCTAAGGGGTTCAATCCACCTAAATGGTGGGTTAAACACTATAGGGTCAGGAGTACATGTTTGTGTTCCTGACCCTTTAGTGATCCTTTAATTTATTTTTTGTCCACTTTGGTAAATGTATATACCTTTATATCTAGAGTTTTCAGGGCATATATATCACTATTTTAATTCACTGCTTTTTGACACTTATTCAGATATTCTAAATATTCAAATATATAATGGAATTGTTGTCATTTAATTTATTACACACTATATATGAATTTATTATGGATGTTATTTATTTTTATGAGTTATTTAATTTGACAATATTACCATATAAAGACAATCATGTATATATACCCTGTTCCAAATTATTATGCAAATTCTATTAAGTGTCACAAAGATTAGACAGTCTGTTGCTCTACAAAATTCATTTTCTGCACTTTCAGAGTGTAATGGTGTTGTGGAGAGAGGCATTGAGGCTAGTGGTTTTGTGGAGAGAGGCACTGAGGCTAGTGGTGTTGTGGAGAGAGGCACTGAGGCTAGTGGTTTTGTGGAGAAAGACGGAGGCTAGTGGTTTTGTAGAGAGACACGGAGGCTAGTGGTTTTGTGGAGAGAGGCACGGAGGCTAGTGGTGTTGTGGAGAGAGGCAGTGAAGCTAGTGGTGTTGTGGAGACCGGCTTGGAGACTATGGTGAGGCCTAATAGAAAGCAGTTGTTGTTGGGGGATTCCATCATAAGAGGTGTGGAGATGGACAATGGTGGTCTTGTGAGATGTCTTCCCGGAGCTACTGCTCACAGAGACAGGAGACATATCTGTAATATTGTTAAGCAAGCAAAGCAGGAAGGGGAATTGGATGTACTTGTCCATCTAGGGACAAATGACTTGGCTTGCAATGAGGTTTCAGAGGTTAAGGAAGTTTTTTAGTGTTTTTGCCAATGATATACGGCAGGTTGCTTCCACACTGTCATTCTCTGAAGTTCTGCCTGTGCATAACACTCAGAACGACAAGCGGATGCGTATTAGGGACTTTAATTTGTGGCTTGGTGAATGGTGTCAGGAGCAAGGATTTGGCTTTATTTCTCATGGTAGCTGTTTGGAAGGGAAATAAGCTGTACAAAAAAGATGGTTTGCATCTTTCTCAAAAGAGAACAAATGTTCTCAGTAAGCAGTTCAGAGGTTTTGCTAGGATGTATTTAAACTAGGAGGGGGTGCAAAAGGGTGATAAAACATCAATCCAATTGTCCCCCAAAACAAGAACAGAAGGTGCCTGTAGCAAGTGTGTTAAAAAAAATATAAGCTCAGAGCCATGTCTACAAATGCTCGCAGTATAGGGAATAAGATCCATGAACTTGTGTCAATAATGGAAACTGATAGTGTAGATTTAATCGCTGTTACTGAGATATGGTATAATGAGAAAAATGACTGGGACATAGCAATACCAGGGTACTCTTTATATAGAAAAGATAGGGAAGGCAAGAAAGGGGGAGGGGTGGCCCTGTATGTGAAGGATAGCATACAATCTAGCCTAATAAAAGTTAGTGAGGCAAACATAGAGTCCGTTTGGGCTACGTTAGAATTTGGTAATCACACAGTAACTCGTGTAGGTGTGATTTATAGGCCCCCAGGGCAAATTGAAGAGTTAGATAATCTACTAGTTGAGGAAATAGCTAAAATGACAATGAAGGGGGAAGTTATCATCATGGGTGACTTTAATCTCCCGGATGTAAATTGGAAATCAAAATTAGCTACTTATGCCAGGAGCCCACATATTCTAAACTCCCTACTGGGATTGTGTCTAAAACAAGTTGTTGAGGAGCCAACTCGTAAAGAGACCATACTAGATTTAGTGTTAACAAATGGAGATTTGGTATTAGATATTACTGTTGGTGAAAGTTTAGGATCCAGTGATCATCAGTCAGTGTGGTTTAATATAAGAACAGTGACTGAGTCACACCACACAAAAACAAAAGTTTTAGACTTTAGAAAAACAGATTTTTCTAAAATTAGAATATGTGTAGAGGAGTTATTATCAGACTGGAGCAATTTAAATGGAGTCCAAGAGGAATGGGATTATTTAAAAGTTGCACTATTGAAAGCAACAGAAAATTGCATTAGGCTTGTCAGTAAAAGCAAAAAATTCAAGAAACCACTGTGGTACTCCGCAGATGTGGCCAAAATAGTTAAAACAAAAAGTTAGCATTTAGAAATTATAAAAAAAAAGTGAGGAAGACAAAATGATCTATAAGATTAGGCAGAAAGAGGCTAAGCAAGTTATAAGAGCTTCCAAATCACACATAGAAGAAAAAATGGCACAGTCAGTAAAAAAGGGGGACAAAATTTTTTTTAGATACATAAATGAGAAAAGAAAAGTAAAACAAGGATTAGTTAGATTAAAATCTAAAGAAGGAAGGTATGTAGAAGAGGATAAAGATCTAGCTGACTGCCTCAATTAATATTTTTGTTCTGTATTTACAGAAGAAAATGAAGGAAAAGGACCTCAGTTAAGAAAAAGGATAAATGAGTCATTTATTACACATGAGATTACAGAGGAAAAGGTTCTATTTCAACTGTCAAAAGTAAAGACAAATAAGTCAATGGGACCTGATGGAATACACCCAAAGCTATTAAAAGAGCTTAGTGGTGTACTAGCAAAACCATTAACAGATTTATTTAACCAATCATTGTTAACAGGAGTAGTCCCAGAAGATTGGAAGTTAGCGAATGTTGTGCCCATTTACAAGAAAGGTAATAGGGAGGAGTCGGGCAACTATAGGCCAGTAAGCCTTACTTCAGTAGTGGGGAAAGTGATGGAAACCATGTTAAAGGATAGGATTGTTGAACATCTAAAACACATGGATTTCAAGATCAGAGACAACATGGGTTTACTTCAGGGAGATCATGCCAAACTAATCTTATTGATTTTTTTGATTGGGTAACTAAAATTATAGATCAGGGTGGTGCAGTAGACATTGCTTACCTAGATTTCAGTAAGGCTTTTGACACTGTTGCACATAGAAGGCTTATCAATGAACTGCAATCTTTAAGTTTGGATTCCAATATTGTTGAATGGGTAAGGCAGTGGCTGAGTGACAGGCAACACAGGGTTGTAGTTAATGGAATATATTCGAAGCTTGGACTTGTCACCAGTGGGGTACCTCAGGGATCTGTACTTGGACCCATTCTCTTTAATATTTTTATTAGTGATATTGCAGAAGGTCTTGATGGTAAGGTATGTCTTTTTGCTGATGATACTAAGATATGTAACAGGGTTGATGTTCCAGGAGGGATAAGCCAAATGACAAATGATTTAGGTAAACTAGAAAAATGGTCAGAATTGTGGCAACTGACATTTAATGTGGATAAGTGCAAGATAATGCATCTTGGACGTAAAAACCCAAGGGCAGAGTACAGAATATTTGATAGAGTCCTAACCTCAACATATGAGGAAAGGGATTTAGGGGTGATTATTTCTGATGACTTAAAGGTAGGCAGACAATGTAATAGAGCAGCAGGAAATGCTAGCAGAATGCTTGGTTGTATAGGGAGAGGTATTAGCAGTAGAAAGAGGGAAGTGCTCATGCCATTGTACAGAACACTGGTGAGACCTCACTTGGAGTATTGTACACAGTACTGGAGACTGTATCTTCAGAAGGGTATTGATACCTTAGAGAGGGTTCAGAGAAGGGCTACTAAACTGGTTCATGGATTGCGGGATAAAACTTACC